CATAACTATAGAAACTAATATTTACTAAACTTTTAGACTATTTTAGAATATTGGTGTCTTATAGGGCCCATGAGTGATTTCCTAGCAATCGGAGTACAAATAAAAAGTAAGAACACTTAAAAAATGTGATTTTATTTTGATGGGGCCCATGAGTGATTTTCTTATCCTTGACTGTTTTTAGAAATTAAACTTGGCCGTTAATCCGTTATCACTTACTCCTTATTGTATTTATTAATGTATTACCAAATTTACTTTTCTCATTGTTATCTCACTTTTTCCCTCCAATTGTTGTCTCACTCTGTTAATTTATATTATATAAAGATAAAGATTATTTATACGTAGTAATTTTTAATAGCAATATATTGTGGTTATTTTTGTGGTGTTGTTATTTTGTATTAAGATGCCAAAAAAATAAAGATTTTTTTGCTGCTAAATATTATTGATATTTACTGTCATAGTACGTAGTATAACTTATATAAAAATGTTACTACATTTTACTGTCACAGTTACTATGATATAAGATTAAAAATGATCAAAGTCATTAAAGTTATTATTATATTTATTCAAGTATAAAAGTCGCATCTTTATCTGCTACTTCTAGAAAAAAGTGCAAGGAAATTACTAAATGAGTTTTGATTTCCAAAACTGTTACCCGGTTTTATTTTTCTAAAAAAGCGACCTTACTAATTACGCCCGCCTTCTTTCCGCCTTTATCTCTCTCTCGCACTAACTGTCTCGCTCTCCCAGAAAAACCCACCGGCATGCCTCTCTTCTCCCAGTCTCAGTAGCTATGGTCGCCAAAATCATCTGTTCTTCTTCCAAAAATTGATTCTCGATCGTCATCCATCCGAAGCTACATTTCTCGTTCATCTTGTCGCCGGAACAACTGATTCTATGTCGTTTTTTGCTCGTTCTCTCTAACCGGTGAAACCTCTGGTAAGTTTTCTTCGAACTTCATTTTTTTATCGTTTTCTACTTCTATTTTCTATTTCAATGTCTTTCATATTCAGAATAGGTAATGTACAACTCCCTATTGTCCAATCAATGCTGATAAATTGAAAATCAATTTATATTTGAATACTTTTGCGACTTGGATTTCGTTGTATTGCATGTTGTTTTTTCAATTGTTTTGAATCGTTTACCTCTGGTTTTGTTCTTCGAGTAATGAAAGTTGTTCAAATGTTGAGCACGATTGATTTCTAATTAAGAAACTAGACACTTTGCATGCACTTATATGTATGGATTCAAAATTAGTGTACACATACTCCATTACTAGACATAAATTTCCCATGATAATCTATATTCACTTGTATATATGTACTGTCAGTTCAATTTGGTAGTTCAATTTGTTAATTCAAGCATTATCTGTTTAATTTGTTGTTTGCTTTGAAGTCTGTGTTATTTATTCATGTATGGACTCTAAGTTTTCTGTGTTCATCTATCATATTTTGTCTTGGAATGATCCTAGTATATTGTTAGTATTCACTATGGAGCAGTGAGTGTTGTACTCTAAATTCTATGTTATACTTGTTGTCTTGTACTTCATATTGTATTATTACAGGATCAAATGACATTGCTCTTTCATAATTGCATCTTCTTATAACATATTCTGTGCAGCAATGTCAGACAGTGACTTTGTTTCTCCACCGCCCTTACCACCCGTCCCTTCTTTTGTTCAGCTAAAAGATAAGCAGTCAATATCCAATTTAGTAAGTTTTTTTAATTTCCTTTCAAAGCATGATACATTTACTTGATTTTCATATATGTTATGTACTTTGTTAACTGTTTTTTTATTTCACTATGTTATCAGGTATTGGAAAGATATGTGAGTAAGGGCGTTGTAAATCGGGGTGTGAAGAGGAAAGTGGACACATTCTCTAGACTGTATGAGTCTATGAATCTAGTCAGGTCTAAGTTACTCCCTCAGCAGCTAAATCTATTCAGTAAAACAGTTTTTGGAAAATTTCTGGACTCAAAGGAAATGTTCCATTCTGGTGTGCTACTTAACTTTCTCCTTGGTAATATGCTGAAATATGAAGAGAGTGACAATAGTGTTCCCAGAGATTTTGTTTTTCAAATTCAGGGCAAAATTGCTACATTCTCTATATCCCATTTAGGTTCTATCTTTGGTTTTAATGTTACTGATCCTATTCCTTGTCCAAATAATGAACTCACTGATAGGGGTCGTATTTGGGATAAATACTTCCCGTCTTATTCTAAATCTATCAAGCGCAATGACATTAAGAAAGTCTTGCAGTCTGTACAAATAGGTAAAGAGTCTGATGATGATATGGTTAAGTTGTCACTGTTATATGTCTTAACACACTCCTTTTTAGCTGCTGAAGGTCAAGTTTGTGTGAACGGTCAGTTTGTTACTCTTGTTGATAGCTTAGAAAGTTTTAATAACTATCCATGGGGCCATGTTGTATGGAATCACATGGATACTTATTTTAGATCTTGTGCTGCCAGTCTGAATTCTAATCGTGACCACTACAATCTCTATGGTTGTGCCCTAGCACTTCAGATTTGGGCTTTTGAGTCTTTTCTAGCCCTTAGGGAAATAGGTCTAGCTCTTTGTGTTGACCCGAATGTTGTTCCATTCTGTCTGAAATGGTCTTCAACATCCAAAACCAATGCTGATATTTTAAAGAATGTACTATTCTGCAAGAAGGACGTAAGTTGTGGTTTTAATGTATCACTCATTTCTTAAATTAGCATTCATTGTAACACTGATTTAACCCCTTATAAAATTTCACTTTTTTGCAGTTTGTGTACACCCCAATGCAACCCTACAGTGAAGTTACTATTCAGGTCAAAGGTTTAAAAAAAAGCCAAAGAAACACACTCTACCCAATGCTACCTCAACCATACCGTCTTCTTTGGCCACGAAAGACCCCAACTGCTCTACTGATACTATGCCTCCTTCACCACCCACAAGTCCTAATACAAACAGTTCATCCTCGAAGTCAAAACCACCCAGGCCACCTCTTAAGCATAATCGGCTTCGATTACCTCCACCAAAACCTGTCCAGGACACAATGTTATCTCCTCCTGCCCCCCCCCCCCCCCCCAAACTCAACCTCCCCCATTCGTGCCATGTCATCCTCCAAAACACCCAAGCTAAAACAAGCAACCACCAACAATGACTCTACTTCTTGTTCTGCTACATGTGAGGTTCTCCATGAAGAGTTAACAAGCAGAATTCTTGGAGCTGAAAAACAAATAGAGGCATTGAAGAATGGCATTCTTTTGTATGAGCTGAAGTTCAAAGCTCAAGAGGATGCTATTAGCAAACTGAATTCGGTTGTTCAGCAGTTGACTAGATTTGTACATTCTATGAGTCACACACCTCCAGAAGCCATTGACCCTATTCCTTCAAACCCTACAGATGCATGCACCGAAAAGTCCACAATGGCTTCTCTAGTTGACGGGCCTGGTTTTCATATTTCACTTACACCTTTGGCATCAAACGAGGGAAATAATGGGAATGATGAGATTGGCATGACCCAAGCAATTAACATGGCTTATGAAATGCTTGAGGGCGGTGTAAGTCCTTTACATCATGCTTTTTGTTTTTCATTCGTCATATTGTTCCCTAATTTTTCATATAACATTATTTCAGGATATTCATCAGACCATAGGCGTCGCTTCTATATCAGCGAATACTACTACTGAGATGAAGGTATTAGTATTTTTGCTTTATATTCATGTAGCATACGCAGATTAGTCTGACCCACAGTGCTGATATAATTAGACCCCCACTTTTGAGTCACTGTAAAAACATGCTCAAGTCGCTTCACAGTGACACCATTGTCACTACACAGTGACACCATTGTCACTACACAGTGACACCATTGTCACTACACAGTGACACCATTGTCACTACATAGTGAAAGAATTAGTCACTGCATAACACTAAATCTTCAAAACCTACCTTCACACTCATTTTTTCTTTTACTACTTACACATGCACACTAAATCTTCACATCCTATTTTCACACTCATTTTTTCTTTAACTACTTACTACATATTGAAACAATTAGTCACTGCATAAACTCATTTTCAATATGTTTGACTGATGAATCAAGATACTCTTCTTCAACCCCTTCATTTAATGATGTTTGTAACCACTGCCTTTGTATCAGGTCTCCACCACTGCATAAATTTTTGTCTTCAACACTCTAACATGTGTTATATTGAACTTTTATCTTTTAGGCCACCAAGTTGTTGACGGATGTTGCACGTGTACCAGCTGATCCCATGACCCAAACCGAGCGCCCTAAAAGGAAAACAGTGCAACCTGAAAGATACACACCTGGGTCTTAAGCGATTAAGAAGGCCAAGAAAACTGATGTTCATGCCCCAACGACCAACCCATTAACTGGCTTGCCCTTTTTGCTTCTTAACAATCCATCCAAGCGTCAACTGTTCCACAAGTTTATGATGAAAGGGCTACTCAGAGCTAACCGCCAAGCAAATGTTGAAGTTGCTTACACGTCTGATGTAGATAAAGACTTCCTTATTGAGCTTGATCCCGACCTTTCCATTGATACAAAGACATGGCTTTACAAATTATACCAGACGGGTCAGTGGATAGATGCCACGGTAAGTGTCTGAATATATACTAATTCATTATCTTCCTTTATTATGATTTTAAAATTTTCATTGCTAATCTCATTTCACTGATGTTCTGACCCTTCTTTGAAGCATGTTTGCACGATATTTTTCTACCTACGCATGAAAGGACAAACGTGGGGTTGGCCGCAGAAGTTCTCGATTGCCGAAACACAATTCCCACAACATTTAAACCGTCTGTATCAAGCTTATACTGAAGGTCGTTCATCCCCAAGGAAGTCAGTCTCTGATGGTTTCTTCAGTGACAATGCACTTGGTGATCCAACTCAGTATTTGCTCCCATGGCTTGAGGCAAACTACATTTACTTTCCCCTCACCTTTTCTTCGAAGCATTGGGTTCTTGTAGTTCTTGATGTCCGTGCTAGGATTCTGCGAGTTTATGACACCAACAATGTTCAGGCTACAGTGACACATGACATTCAGGTAGAAATGCAGGGTCTCATTCACTATTTGCCATTACTGTTGGCAGAGTTGCAGTCAAAATCAGTTCCTAAATCTGCAACAGTGACTACTCCATTTGATTGTGTCATGGTTTCTGGAGTCCCACAACAAATTAATGGGTACATTTTAATAGTGTTACTCTTCTTATATTCTTTTTTCAAACAAGTTGTCTACCTACTAACCTATGTCATACCAAATTACCTTTTTGTAGTGGTGATTGTGGTTTCCTCATGTTAAAGATTGCTGAAGTGATGCAAATGGGATTTCCAATCAGTTCAATTTGTCCGAAGAAGATTCCTGATTACCGTGCGAAGTGGGCCTACAGTCTTTATGTTTATGGGTGTAAAAAGGCGAAAAGAAAAATTCAGTTCTAGTCTTTGTTTCATCATTTTCAAACTAATTCTATGTTTGCCTCCTTATGTACGACACTCTATCTTTTTGTCACTATGTTTGGATTTAGCTGTTGTTATGGATTCATTGTGACTATGGATTCATTTTCAAATCTCTATTGCTTACTCATGTTGTGACTATGGAGTCGTTGTTGTTATACATATTTTGTCCATATTATATAATGACTTCTTTTGCATTATGTAATATTCACTTAAATTTTTGTCACTTAAATAATGATTACTAATTGTACTGAAATTGACCTAAACATATTTGTTTGTCATATTCACATTGACTGATAAACTTTGGTTTAGGTTCATATTGATGTCATGTCTCAAAAACCTTTGCAAACAGACCATTTGCATGAGCAAGTCCTTGTCTCCAAACAATACATCAATATAACATGACAAACAATACTTCAATACTCCAAACATGACAAACAATACTTCAAATTTTCAAATCAGTTTTCAATATAACATTGTATCGCACATTATGAATGAATTTAAACTTGTGTAACTACAAACTCATTAAGATTAATCAAATCCAAGTGACTACATAACTAAAACATAAACCGAACTTTTTATACACAAGTCAATCTACTAGACATGACATACAACTATACAAGTCAATACCTCTGCACTTTATTAATGGATCTCAATTGTAAATCACTTTCACATATTCCAGTGACTACATTACAGAAACAAAACTATAACAGCCTAACATTTTATAACTCAAACTTATTATTGTTAAACAATAAAAAGAAGCCCAAATAGACTAGAAATCTAAACAAGACCTGAAATCATTTATTTAGGCCTGACCACATTCTTCTAAACAAGTTAACAAATCTAGACAAGTCCAGAAATCTAAACAAGAGCAGAAATCAATTGCGAGGTATCGGATTGTTGCATGTTTTTTGGTTGTGGCCATGTTCTTTGCACCTTCCACATTTCTGTCTTTTGGGATACTCGCCAATAGAAGGAATTCTTTTCGTTTTGGGCCTTCCCGCTGTTCGTTTGTCTGACACCGGTGGTTTAACAACTTGATTGCGGGTATCTAGTGGCACATCGTAAACTGAGAATGACCCAAGAGGATTCACGGCTTCACTATATGCTTCCAGCCACGCACTAGTGCAGTAGTACTTCGAGACGAAGTCATAACATGATAGACCACCTCGCGAACCTATTGCCGCTACAGCATGAACACATACAAAGTCTTCCAATTCAAACTCTCTACATGAGCAAGTCCTTGTCTCCAAGTTTACCACATACCCTCTGCACGATCTGTCAATCACTTCAAACGTGTAAGCCGTGCTTGGCCTGACCTGAAATTAGTTAACATTATTAGTCACTTTTTCCCATCATTTTTCAGTTACTCAGTAACCATACATTACAAACAATAATCTAATAATTTCATTAATAATTTTACACTATATAATTATAATTTTTTTAATTTTCAGAATAAAAACACTCACAATCATTCCTGACGAGTCACTAAGAAGATTAGACAAAACCTCCTCTGCTGCTGGTGACAATCTTGACTTGTGCTCGTGTGCCTCTTTCCTCCTGTCATGGAACCATGTCTGTAATTTTGTTCTCAGAAACTCTACTAGCATTGAAATTGGGTACTCCCTCGCAGTTCCGTCAACAAAGTTCAATGTTTCTGCATTATTGGAAGTCACTACTGAGTATCGCCTCCTCCTTATATGGCTCCGTGCCCATTTTGTCTCACCAATTTCACCCAAATATTGTCGTATCTTAGGATCTTCAGCATCAAGCAACCTCATGTAGTAGTCCCATATATGAATTGTGGGAGCACGCGCAGCTGCATTGAAAAAACAAGTCACTCTATTTTTTTTCCCACCGCACTTTGATATAATATTTCCCAAAATATGTTGCACACAATGTCCGTGGTCAACACCGGGGAAGATATCACTGGCAGCTCTTATTAGTCCTTCATTACGATCTGATACCATGCACATATCGGGCCTCTCCCCTATTGCCTCTTTCAATTTTGAGAAAAACCAAGCCCATGTATGCTTATTTTCTCTATCACAGAAACCAAAAGCCAGGGGGAATATTTGCCTATTCGCATCAAGAGCACATGCTGAAAGTAGTGTCCCCCGAAATTTAGCTTTTAATTGAGCTCCATCCACACTTATCACTGGTCTACATGCAGCCCAACCCTTTCTACATGCACCCAATGACATGAACATTCTGACAAAGTTCCCATTCACATCCGTATCCAATGAAATCAATGAGTCTGGATTTGTTTTTCTTATCATATAACACAACAAAGGTAGCTTCTGATAGGACTCACTGGCAGTACCTGTTAGTAATCTTAATACTTTCTCTTTTCCACTCCATGCTTTCTTATAGGTCAGATTCAGCCCCAACTGCCTACCCAAATCGGACATTATTGATTTAGGAGCATATGGCTTTCTTGAAGCATCCATGTATTGGTGTTTAATCAACTTCCCAATTATGTTGGCTGTGGCTTGTCTATTACCACTCATTCTACAATCAATAGGGCACGTGTGTACTGAATTAAACCTGCATACAATTTCACACTACATGTCACTATTACAACTTTAAAACAATATTTATCACCAAACCCTTTCATTAAGAATCATTTTCATTCATATACGTACCTTCGCACTTCAAAGGAATCTGTTCCTTCTATTCGTACCCCACGAACTGCCCATTTGCATTTCTTTCCAATGCATACAACATGCAGCACTCCAGGATGTGAGGTCTTTGTTCTGAACTGAAATTTATTTTGTATTGCATATAATTGAAGTGTTTCCTTTAACAGTTCTTTTGTCGGATACAGCCCATTCATTCTCAATGTTGTGTCCATGCCAACTACAGAACCGTTCTCACCATCAATCATCCATGAAATAAGAGGCCTGTTTGTGTGTGTCACTTCTTCATACAATATCTCATTTCCTCCACTTGAGTTTTCATATTCCAATTGCAGTGGAACAAAGACTTCTTCAGCTGGACCATTTAAATCTAACTCATTGTTACTTATCGCACTTCTTGACTCATTAAGTCCATCGAACTTCTCTCCAACTCTGTTGTCTTCCTTCCTTATTTGCACACACAATGGATATGATGTGACATCATCTTTTTTTGTTTCTTTGAGCTTCACATAAAACTTAAGACTTTGGTCACTATCTATTGTTGTCGGGTGGAAAGCTTTGTCAATCTGGTAAGATATGGCTTTAATATCCACATCATTACCAAGGTTCAACATCTCTCGTAGTGCAAACAACAAATTACTATATGATCCATCAACTTCAAGCAAAAGTCCATGAGTAGAGTGTGCTAAAAATCTCTTTTCTGTATTCCACCTTCCATCAAATAGAACAGTAACCATAAGCTGTTCCATACCTGTTTGTTGAAGAATACATTACTAAAAAATAGAACAACATAATTGAAACACATATCATAGTCACTCTACAAGCTGTGTCCTTATTTGCACTCATGAATTCAATTACTGACAAAACTCATGTGTACTATTGACACTAAGTACACAAACTCATTGTATCACTCAAAGTCACTGACAAATCACACTTGAATTTGATCACAAATATGTTTTTAGAATCATAATGACTACCACACAGAACTAATACAGTGACTATGCCCTGTACACATTCAAATTCACAAAGCCATATTTGCAATGTAACTACATCCACACAGAACTACCTAATCCACTCCATCTCAAACTAATACAGTCACTGATATCTTACTTTCATAATCACAACCTTCCTTGTATATTCACGGTTTACATGTATCACTAAAATCCATATGTTTCAGGAATAAATAGTTCTAAATAGCTGTATATCAAACTAGTCGTGACTCACACCGAAATTAATCTTCAAATTGCTCCACCGATACATACAAATACATATATAAACCCTAAACATACCTCTGATCGCGAATAAACGTTTGTCACTAATTATGTGCGTGAATCTCCGTTGAGTTCGCACCGCTCTAGCGTCTTCAACGTCTATCTCAGTCAAATTTGCGATCCCCTTCAGCGTCTTCAGCCATGGAGTCTTCTGGTCGCAGTGAATGAAGTTGTTGATCGTATAACTGCTCGGTCCCCCTTGGGGGTTTTAGTGATGTGTCCCAACCGCCTTTTAAATTGAATCCAAAAAGGAAGTAATTTGATTTCGAAAATCTAGACTTCCGTAAACTGAAGTCATATTTTTAGAATTTTCCATTTAAAGTCACTTTTTGGTAAAATACGGTCCAATTAGTAATATTGGAATATTTTGGCACTACTTCTATTTGGACATATATTCATTTCTATTTTAAAAATAATTATTTGTTTCCACAATTAAAAATGAATAATAAGAATTCTTATAAACGGTTGAATACAAATGGAGAGTATCAATGTTTGACATGTATTATACACGTGTGTTTCTATTTGGTTAGTTTGTTCATTATACATATTATTTGAGGCAAGTTAATGAGTAATAAATGCTCCATTATTATAGAGATTTTTTCAAGACATAAATTTGAGCTGAGGCATATACATTTAGAGCATCTCCAATGCTAGAATGTGCACGGTACACATGTGGCATGAGTGATAGCCACATAAATATTAGCAAATAAATTATCTATATCCTTATTTGAACGATTTTATTCAATTTTGGTAAGTTTTTCCCTGCAATGTCAACTACAATGTCAACATTTAGACGGTCTCCTTGACATTGTGGAGAAAAACTTACTAAATCTGTATAAAATCATTAAAATAAGGAGAGAAAGAATTTATTTACTAATATTTATGTGGTTATCTCTCGTGCCACGTGTGCATCGTGCACATTATACCATTGGACATGCTCTTAGTATAGGCGGGAGTATGCATGGATTCTAGGCACACAAATTTACATTTTTGTCCTTCATTTAGGCGGCAATTTTGCCTCCAAAATTGATAGTCACTCTTTTACTTTATATAATATAAAGATTATACTGGAATAACTAATATTTGGGATTAATATCGGAAGACTGCTAATAGTTCATATTATTCATGTGAATTTTTCCTTTTGTATAATATACGACTATTTAATGTCTTTAGTTCAATTCAGTTTTATTAGATTTTTCTCAATCTCGGTAAGTTTATTTCTCGAATTTTCATAGTTGCGGTTCAGTTCGGTTTAATACTTTTTTGAAAGAAATGCTACCAAACTCAAACAAAATTATATATGTTTTAGTTTAATATGGTATTGTTCTGTTAAACTAAACCAATATGTCGAACTCTAATTTGTAATTTGTACTTAAATTGTAATGAAGTGTCTATATAAATGTCTAGGGCCTCATAATTTCTCTAGACGGCCCTGCCTCTAAGCAGAACCGGTCTTGTATCCTTCGAAGTGCGAAGTTGCATGTGATCAACATCTAGCAACGGCCGAACATAAAAAACATCTAGTATTTCAAAAGGCATAGATTACAAAGTCTTGATCTGGTTGATGAGGTATTCGGCAATTTTGGTATAGATTTAAAGGTTAAACACTTTATGCAAAATGGCTGATTTTTATCCATTTTGCACAATTATTGGACAAGATTACCTGATGCCATGAGCTAGCGCAACAACATCTTTAAAATAGTTACCAGATACAACGTGGTATTTACTACTAATATTCATTGGACAAAAAGATGTTAATTAAATTATTCCAATAATGTATATAACAATTTACTACTGATGAATTAAGATTTCTCAGATAGTGCGTTATATATATACATCTAAGGACCAATGCTAATTAGTCTTTAAATTATTCTTTTGCCAATGAAATTAAAAGCTAATCTGGTGTGTTGCACTATTAAAATTGTTTCATTCATTTACTACTAGTTAGAAAAATGGTTTTACAAATTAATATTATGGTCATTAATATTATTTGTAAAAATCATTTTGAAATGAATGAGAAATTGTTTCCCGAAAGATAAGTGTGAAATTATACCTCACACGCATCCTGCCGGCCGGGTAAGGTTTCGGGTAAGAGTCTTAAACCGTCCGCTCAAGAATATGGCTTTAAGATAATTCTATTAGTCGTTTACAATTTTGAATAATGTTTGACAATAAACACATCCTTTGTTTTTAGGAGGGTCACAACTTTCTTTCTAAAGGTGTCTTTTGGGTATAGAGTCTTCTGGCCAAAGCTCTATATATACTCATGCTTGTCTGTATTTTAAATCAATCCAAAATTCACAAAACAATTCCTCCGTATTATCTCTTCCTTCGTTGTATCTTTGAGTTCGCCGGAATCCCGTTGGGAGCGAAGAACCTCTCTATCCTGGGAGACGCTTGCTACATGTGTCGGACAAAAATGTCTTAAAGAAACAACGTTCTTTGCGCATTAAAATTAGGAAAATGCTAAGAGTACAAACAGACTTACAAAAAAATTTACAAACAGGTAATGTGGCTATTGTAATGACTTTTGATGTAAAAGTGATGTGATGTGTTAAACAATATGATGCTGCCACAGTTTTTAAATCAAATAGATTAATGTGCCGAACTTTCTACACCCAAAATCGAAATATTATGTCCCCATCGTAAGCATGGTAACGGGTAGCAGTGTCTATACCGTGCAACCGGTGCATGGTGAGCACCATGCACCCATGGTTATATGAGATGTAACTTGTGTGATTCGAGATGTAACTTCAAGTTAATCAAAATGTAAATTGCACTCATTCACATGTAACTCGTTAAAATGTAAACTGCTTTTATTGAAATGTAACTTGGGGAACAAATTAGATGTAATTTGTGACATGTAACTTTAGGCTATTGAAATGTAAAACGTTTTTACAGAGATGTAACTCCATATATATAATTATATATATACACACACACACACAAATGAATATACTGGGGCATGGTCTGGACCTGTGATTGCTTGAGGCAGCTGGGGTTGTGGTGGTGTGATGCGGCAGTTATAGGGATTGCACAAGGGGGTTGTGGTTGTGGGATGGTGTTGGGCAAAATTTCTGCAGGTGGATGGGCGAGGTGCTGGGCGCTGTGAAGGTTTGGGACGGCTAGGTGGCGATGGCAGGTGGGCAGGGACTGGGAGAATGCTGTTGGTTTAGACGAAAGTAGTTGGAGAAGGAGGAACGATCGCCGTTTTGTGACCGGGCACACCATCCTCATGGTGCGCCGGTCGCACGGTATAATCTGCGAACGGGTAGAGCCTCAAAAGATGCATCTAAGGAGCGTCCTGACCTCTATCTACATACGGAGTACTATAATTTTTTACTCTTACGGATTTAGTTTTTCAGCTTGGTATGTGTGTGGGTAAAAAGTTTTTACAAGTATCAATTATTTAATTTCGTTAATGTAATACGGAATAGAAAATTGAAAGTCTATTATAATCACACATTTTCTTATTTTTCATTCTACTTACATGTTTTAGTTTTAAAATACTTGAAATTACACATCGTTAAACTACTTTTTATTTTTTAAAACAAAAAGAGAAATCAGTCGACCTTTGGCATGTTGGATGTCGGGCAGAATGTAGATAGAATATAATAATAAATATAATGGTGGTCCAAAAATGAATTATTAACAAAAGGTCGGTGTCCTTAGGAAATACGGAGTATCAGAAAAAATTAGACAAAATCTCTTTCAAAACAAAAAAGATGTTGGGCGATGCGGCCACGTGTACGGTTAGCACCCCTATACATTTGGCCTAGTCATGGACCCGGTTCGGGCCGCCCGGCCCGCTATTGTGCGGGCCCAGAACCGGCCCGGTTCTCGGGTCTGGGTCCGGGTCGGGCCTAGGCCCGGTTATGGGGGCGGGTCCGGGCTCGGGCCTTGTATTTGGCGAACCGGCCCGGCCGGGTCAGGCCCGGCCGGGTCAGGCCCGGGTCCGGGCCGAATTGATTTTTTTTTTCATTTTTGTGTTTCCACCTGGGTTGGGCTTGATGGTTAGGAGGGGTTTGGGGGTTTGGGGGGTGGGTGGGGGTTAGGAAAGCAAAAAAAAACATGACCAAACCGGAGGCCCGCCCCGGCCCGGCCCGGACCGGACCCGGTGGCTACCCGGGCCGGTCCCGGGCCTTCCTTCCCAAAAAAAAAGCCCGGCCCGGGTCCATGACTAATTTGGCCCAACTCTAGATCCGAGTATAAAGTTTCGTATCCGCCTGGTATACGGGTCAAATCTAGGCCTTTTTCTTAAGACCGAGAGTAGCTATAGTCCAAAAGTCTTATATAGTGTTTTATTGTTCAACCTGATATATACTTACAGGACGTTGACCGGATGGCATAGGGACTGGACCGTTGAGTCGTTAACCAAATCATACAGGGACCTCCGCATCGTTGACTAGATCGGAACTTGGACCGAGTCCACCACTAGACGTAACTATGAAAATTCATTGTACGAGCACTACATCATCCGCATATTTTGAATTTGGAATGCTTGCAAAACTCATTTCTCCAATTGATTAAGTAAAACAGACACATATCTCTTTTTTTTGGGAAAATGATTTGGTAAATTCATTTTATTATTTTCCTTTTTCCAGTTTTTTAGTAATTCTTTTGGTTTACACATTGTATGTTTACATCTTTCCAATTTTTCAATTTTCTAGAAATCTGGAAAATATCTTTGTTAAAAAAATAGACCATTAATTTTATATCTTGGTTTGAAAATCATTGGTCTTGGAATGAGGACCGTCTCCAAACATACTACGTAGTACTAAGTAGGGCATTCCAGGCCTCTCACCCCAAATTCTATAGAACATTTTGATTTGAGTAAAAAGTTAGAAAAATACTATAGGTATCCCATTTTTGGGTATCCCATTTGTACCCCTATTTGTGTGGTTCAGAAAAGACAATTCATAATAGTGGAGCAATTAATTTATGAAATGACCCTTTGTGAACCAAACAATTGATGTTGTATAAATGGGATACCCCAAAATGGGGTACACCAAGAATAGTTTATAACTTGTTATTTTTTTTTTGGAACATTCTTCTAAACCTATTATAGTATCTGCTCTTGTTAATGTCAACATCCTTGATTGGGATGGGACTCGAACCTGCAACTTCCTGTTTGAGAGAT